TTTTTTTTTTTTTTTTTGCCAGGAGAAAACAAAGCATCCTAATAATCGCGCGTTTTCGGTTCACAGGGAAGCAAGGGCGCCTACCGATACCACTGGCAGAGCCATGATGTGAAGCACAGCGGTGTGGATGACATGGTCCTGCTCTCCAAGATCACAGAGAATGCCATCGTGGAGAATCTAAAGAAGAGATACATGGATGACTACATTTTTGTATCCTTTATTAGTTTCTACGGACTCTTCCAAGTAAGATGACCATATCCACGGCAAAATGCGACGTGTTCCTAGCGTGAGAAGATCCATCTGAAATTCTGAACTTGACACTTGGCGCTCGAGTCCTTGTCACCGTTTCCGAACGTGACTTTGTACTTTTCTGTCCCTTTGTTGAGGTTGTAGGAAGGGCCAAGACGATGCTTTTAAATTATTTTCCTGGAATTTCACAAATTCAAGATGCAGCCAGTATTCATCTATTTCAATCGATGGCACTGTACCCTTGACGTGCTTTAGCCACGCACGTGGTATCTAAAACCTCTGCTGTTCCCAGGGAAAGTCCTGATCTGCAGAGAATTCTGTCGATAGAGCTCCCTAGTTGCAAAGCAGACAGTTAGGTCCAGGCCTAAAAGGTTTTAAAAAGATTGCCTCATGCAAAAAATATGCAATTTTGCCAGTTTTTCTGCATTCTTATGTTTACTAAAGGAAACATGAGAAGTGAAGATCAACTATTGAAAATGCCTGATACTCTTGAGTTGTTCTTTATGTTTCAATTTTAGCTTGCCAGATGCCATTTTTTATAGGGCTTTAAAAAATTCAGAATGGAAATTTGATTCAAATGTGTGTTGACTTCATTATAAACAGAACTGTGATATTTGCTTAAGTTCCTACAGGATTCAATTTTGTTTGGTACAACTATATAAAGATCTCTTAGTGAAATTATTGTAAAATTTTAGATATGCAAAGATCCGTGCAAATCTGTATTGCAGTACCAGAAGGTTTAACTGTGATGCTCTTGGTAACTTCTGAAGGCATGGTGTCCCGGAGGACCATTAAAGGTAGAGTCTTCGCAACTGTTGTTGCATACATTTTAGGTTTTAGCCCCAAAAGCTTGAAGAGGTACAGTTTTCACATCTGTAGCTTCTGTTTGTTATTCATACCACTCATCTGACTATTCGTTAAAAGCACCCATATGTATGCAACCATACTTTCGCAGGCAATGCCTTTCTCATCATTGGTGAGTGGGGAGTTCAACACACCAGGATAAGACTAATGCATATATTCAACATACCCGCCAATGCTAATTAACAAAATTATTCCAAGACCCTGGGTTGGTTCTGACCAATACTGTGCTGTTTCTTATTTGCCACAGGAAATTTTACCAAATCTCTGGGTAGTTACACGCCTAAACCCCTGCTTTTTTTTTAAAGATTTTATTTATTTGACAGAGAGAGACACAGCGAGAGAGGGAACACAAGCAGGGGGAGTGGGAGAGGGAGAAGCAGGCTTCC